ACAGTTATTTTTTAAAGTTTTATATAAAAAAACGCGACATAACATAACGGGGGAGTGTTTTCTAAACTCATTTGTAGTGTATATGAATTGATCAACAAAAATTTCTAGAATTGATTTCCAAATTTGGAAATCTCCCTGACTGAAATGAGACTCATTAAGGATGTTACACATTATCAAGATCATGTGGTGAACACATGATTTTAAGCTACTTTGATAGGGTGTAGCCCCCTTAATGAGTCTCATTTGAGATTCGGATTCAAACACTAGACTTAGGGATGGGAAATTGCATGAAATTTCAAAATTTCATGTGCATCATGCGCATTTTATGAGTGCATTTTTTTTTTTAAGAAAAATCACTTCAGTTCTAGAAATTCTATCAACGAAATTACTTATTGAATGATTTTGCAAATTAGTTGAAATTGTAGTTATAGTTGATGATGATGATGATGATAATGATGATGATGGTGGTGATGATGATGATGATAATGGCGGTGATGATGATGATGTTATTGGATGGGTTTGTCCAAATATAGATTGCATGATAGAAACAGGTATGGAATTACATTTCTTCAAATGTTGTTTACACCTTCCAAGAGCTTCATTTAACTCATAGTTACAATATTTGCAACTTGCTCTATTTTGCTTATAACCACTAACTTTACCCAATCTGGTAAAATGAGACCAAATGTCTGAATTTGTCATTTTTAAAGAATAGTATAAATGTTTTACGGGCAATTTTAATGATAAAAAAATTAATTATAATGTAAAAATGCGTGTTTAATTTTAATTGGGTAAAATTTAATTTCCGCATTTTCTGTATGTGATATTGCATGATGCGCATGATGCAATGCGCATTACATTTTTTTTCATGCGCATGGAACATCTCTAATAGGGGGGTGTCACAGTCTAATTAAATCAAAATTAAGTAATGTCATATAGTGTCGATCAATAAGTTAATTTTTTTTAATGATCAACAACGCAAAGAAAATAATAAATAAATCGTATTTTCAAAATGCTACTAGTCTGTGAAAAAGAGATATATTATTCTCAACTTTGAATATGAAATAGTATAATATATCTAGTTTGGCTGAATAGAGAGATTTTTGCGGGTAATAAATACCAGTTGTGAAAAAAATTCCACCATGAAATTTTCAGGTAACACTAAAAAATCCGCTCATTAATTAGATTTGTTGATCTATAAGTGTGACACCCCCAAAAATGCATGCGCAAGAAGGTAGTTAAGATTGATAAATATATATATATTGATTGGCAAAATATAAATAATATTTATCAGATATGATTGTGTATAGATTTGGAAATTTTTATGGAAAAGGTTTTTTGACACCAGAAATAACAATCAAGATTTATCAGGAAAGTTGCCTAAACATAGATCACGAACAGGCGTCATAGTTGTGAACCAAACAAGTTAACTATTTTACAAGTGAAATATATTCTTATTTATTTGTTAATAAATTATTTAATCATGAAAGAAAAAAATATTTATACAATATTAAAATAATATACAAGAAATAAAATATGCGTTTTCAAATTAAAGAAAAACAACAACAACAATAATAGTAATAATGAAGTTCAATTTCTTTGATGTTTTTTTATTATTTATAAAATTGACATGAAAATATAATTTTCATTAATGGACGAATTATTTTTGATTGAGAACAATTGGCACTACAAAAAAAAAAGATTATTAATTTTAATATGTTCCTTGTTATAAATATTTTCTCCGTATTATTATAATAATCGATATTACTTACAAATAATAATCAATAATAAAATGATTATAACAACAGCAATAATAATTCTCATTTTCATATCTTTCCACCACGTTTTTTTTCGTACTTCATTTGAGAAAAGATGAAATCCTTTTGCCGATTTTGACAGATTTTCTATTTACAAAAAAAAAAAAAAAAATTAGTGAGAAGACATTGCTAAATTATTTAATAGAATCTTTACTTTCCAACATAAATTACCAGTTTTATCTTGTAAATTATCTAATTTCTCTCCCCTTCCAGCAACAAATTTAAGATTATCACGTATAACTTCTACTGTATCATCAATTTTTTTTTGAATTTCTACAGTCTTTGAAGGCGGACCACCAGCAGCGCCCTCCTTAGGTACATACGGATCGTATGAAGACCTATTGAAAAAATATTATTAAACATTATTAATGGCATTAAAAATTCTTTCATTCAGTCAAAAATAATTCCTTTTCCATTTCAAAGCATCAACTACTGATTAATCTAATTAATTAGTTAAATTCTCCCACTTTCTCACGTAAGCTTTATTTCATGTATAGTAATAATTATACATACATTATAATATTTTTATTATTTACGTGATTCCTTGGAAGTCAAAATTTTTATTGAATTGTTATTATCAAGTAATTTTGTTCGAATTCGAATTTTGTATTCAAATTGCTAATTTCCCTTACGAAAAACTGATGAAAAAATTTTTTTATGTAATTGTCGGCTAAGCCTAGAGTTAGCACTACACAAAAATTCTTTAACCGGTTAACTATTACAATGCTAGAAAATTTTTATAACAATTCAAAAGTCTTTAAATAGCAAGAGTCTAAACCAAAGTCAAACTATCATTTAATAATAGTTAATTTAGTCACGTGAAAATTTTAATGGCAAAATTCCTGTCGA